CGAAGAGAAAGAAAAAGAAANAAGGAGAGAGAGAGAGAGAGAGGGGTTCTACAATTTATTACACTTTCCCGTTAAATAACCTCGCTCACAGGTCGGAAGGAATTTGATCGATGGAAATGTTGGCCTGGAGCCCAGCGATAATGCAATCTCCTTTATCATTATAGCGGCTGGCTTATGTAATTATACTCGAAAATGCAACTCGAATGCAGTGTGTAATGATTTTTGAAGCACGTTTTATATTCCCGGTCAATTCTTGTTGAATATGTATGAAGCGCGTAAAGATTGGGAATGTAAATCGAGGGTGAAAGAAAACGAAACGAAATGGGAAAAGAAAAAAACTTACGCGTTACGAGCGTGAGCGTTCGACAAACGAGACGAAACGAAAGGAGAGCGAACCTCGTGCCTATGAATTTTTTAAACCGACATTGTTTCGCGTGCATCGAGCTTTCTTCGCCGATATCGGCGAGAATCGATACGATCAACAAATGGCCCCGTGCCTTTCCATCCATTTGGACGGAACAGAGAAATCACGATTCACCGGGGGACAGATTTAACACACTGTGGCAAACGGAAAGCCACTGGACCGACGATATTTTCCCGTCATAAATCAGGGGCAGAGGAGGGGAGGAGAGGTTCCCGATTACGTCAGTCCAGGTGGTTCCTCGAACAAAAGATGGAGAGAAGAAAGAAAGGACGTGGAAAGTAGCAAGAAATTCCGAAGCGCGTCCTGACGCGAGCGGATTTCGCAAGTAAGAAAACAAGGGAAAGGGGAGGAGGGGGGGGCGGAAGGAGGAGGGAAAGAGAGGGAAAGATAGGTGGAAGGCATTAATTTCTAAGCTTTATGCGGTTCTTATTAGAATCTCCGTGGAGACGGTGGCCGGGCGGCCAGCTGCCCCCAGAAATATGACTCTATTTTTCGTCTGGCGTCGACTTATTTGCGCGACTTGGTGAAAATCGTCAGGGATGGGGGGAACGACTAACAGTTTATAAGTTACACGAAAGTGAACAGTGGAGATTTGATCGTAACGTTACTCACCCCCTTTCCTTTTTCTTCTTCCTTCCCTCCATTGACAATCCCGATATCATCTCGCCTCCTCCCGCTTGCCTCTTCTCCTCCCTTATATTTGACGCGGGGCGGTTATTTTCAAGCGGGTTTCACGACCGGGCGGGCGATATATCGGCTATACCGATAGCGTTTTTAAAATTCTCTCCGCCGCGTGGTTCCTGTAAAAACGTCAGGATAAAATGCCACGACTTAATTAAATGCATTAAAGTAGTTTTTTGTCGCTCCCGCCCGTTTCTTATATTATCACCATATTCATGAAAGTAATGGTAATTACATACGAGACCTAAAACCGTAAAAAGCGTAATTTTTCACAGGGAGGGAAGGAAAAATGTTTCCCTGATAAAGAGTGCGTAATTCTTCCCTCGCACCCACTACTGTTTGGCGCGCACGCACGTGCGCATTTCGCTGTGCCTTTACGACGACTGTTCCTTTACCTTTCTCTCTCTCTTTCTTTCTTTCGTTTCTTCTCATCGCGCTCGAAAATAAAAAGATATTTAATATCGAAACTGTGCACAGTAATATCGCACAGAAATCAATTGCTTTTTTCGCTCTTCCATTTATTTATTTCTTCCTTTTCTTTTCCTTTCTTTTCCTTTCTACTTCTTCTTCTTCTTCTTCTTCTTCTTCTCCCTACTTTTCCCCCGTTGCATCACAACGGGGACGACGTATCTATCCACGCTTTTACGCTTATCTCTCCCCCTTATCTCGTTCTTCCCGCGTTTCATCCATACGTCGAAGACGTCCCGATATTGGTAGTCAGTCAACCGAACGGGTCATATGAAATTCTGCGCCATCGTTTTCCACCCGGTAATAGAGTATTTCTATACAAGGCAGGGAATTTAATTCAACGATCCTTTGAATGCCGCGCGCTTTTCCCTTTCTGAGCATCGCGGATGAAAAGTTGGAGGGGTTCATAAATTCGGTTGCAAGCGGAGAAGCATCGCGCTTATGCGAACAAAGGGATCCCGGGGAAATCGGCATGCATCCGGGGCCGTGCATAACTGGAAAAGAAAAAGTTGGGGGAGAGGGAACGGTAAATAATTACGTAGGGCGAATAATGACGGAAATCTGGCGTGGTAACTAACGCGAACGCTTAATTATACGCGTTAACTTGAGTAACAATTTTCCCTGCTAAAATACACAAAATCAGAATCGTATCACTATTTTTCCTGTGTGATGAAATTGTAAAATAAAAGAGGGGGGAGAGGAAGAAGAAGAAGAAAAATAGAAATTTTTTGAACGCTAACCATCGGTCGTATTCGCGACCTATTCCGATAATAATCCATGGAAAAGATGAAATTAAACAATCTCTATCGATTCTCTAAAAAAAAAACTGCGAGGCATCCTCTTTTTTTAACGATGAACTCGAACCGATATCGCACGGATGATAGACGAAAAACCTACTCGATTTCGATGTTGCTAAAAGCCTTGGCGATCAGATAACAGGGCATAAAAATACGCTCGCCGGTTGCAGTAATAAAATGAGCACAAAAGATTATTTACGCTCGCTGCACTTACATCCAATAAAGAACAAGTATTGGACGACATCAGCATGCACGTGGATCCAATATGTTCCCTTGTGTTGGATACCGATGTGCACCACCGCCACGAATACAAATAGCAAACGAGAGAGACGAGGCGAGTTGGACGCCTGCCCTTTTAACCAGACTTCCAGAAAAATTGATATTCTTGTTTGCGTATCCGTCGTGCATCCGTCTTAAAGCGTAATAAAGCTTATCCGATCGACCAGCAGAGATTTGCAAGCGTGGCGGATCATTATCACAGCTGGAATTTAAAAGATCAACCGTATAATTGTCGATTGATTGTTCGGGGGGTGTAATAAGAGAGGGAAAAATGTCGTGAAATTTATTATCAGTTCAATTTCAATCTCATCGTGCTCGAAAAGAGATGGAATTTTAAGAAAATTGCACGGTCGTTGCATCGAGAGATTTTTCGTAGAATTTCTATCCGTGATATAAAATAACGGACGTATCTTTATTCTTTTATTAAAAAATATTACTACAACGAGGCGTATCGGAGATAATCTAGAGAAGAAATGTAAAAATTTGGGGAATAAATAGTAGAATAAATAAATGTTGTTTGAGCTAAGAAATACTAACATCTTCTTCTTCGTTATTCTTTGTAAACAATGGAACGAAGAAATTAAATGACAAAGAAGATACATGGTGTATTTGTACGAGTAACAAGGACACGAAGCGAGCAAACGTTAACAAGAAAGAGCTACGGAAATAAAAGTAAGCACGATAAAGGATAGATTCATTCTGGTAGTAACCGTGAACACGTGATTCTTACAAAGATGGAACAAAGGAAACAAAAGAGGCGAAATTGAGAGATAGAAAGATCTTTTGTAACCGTTAAAGAATGGAAGAAAAAGGGTATCCGAATCTAAGAGCGCTTTTAAATCAGCGTAACCCAACGTATTGCTTGCGGCGTTCACCTGTGGTAATGGCTGCATAAACTCTAGACTCCGGTTCACGTCCGTTCTTTTTCCATTCCGTCGAGAATTATTTGCTTGTACTTCTTTCTTTTTACCTTTTCCTACCGAACCCACGTTACTTATACTTCACTTATTCGTATCCGTACGTGATTACTTATTCGCTTCAATATCCCATTTTTTCCCCCCTTTAATATCGATGGAACAATTATTTATAATATAATTTTCAAAAATAAAAACGACCGATCAAATTCCAATAGAATTCTAAAAGACGTCGACACCGAAAATCTAAAAATATCAAATTTCGCAAAAATTTTTCATAAAATTTTCAATCGAATTTACATTTTGAAAGAAGCAATTAACCAATAATTCTTTCGATGTGTTACCGATTCCCTTCGTAAATGGGGTCCAACTTATCGAGAGATTAATACCAACTCCAGACGACAAAAAAAAGCATATATATATATATATAAATAACTGTTGGCAATTAATAAGCTCGAGGATCGAGAATGGAAGATACCTCGTTCCGTTTTGCGTTATACCCACGGTATAATGGCGAGGTGGTCTGAACTGGCTGGTGTCGGAAAGATCCTGCTTGCACGAATTAACCATTATAAGTACGAGCAGAGCGGACCAGGATATCGGATCATTTGTAAAGCAATAACGCCGTATAAATCTCCATCCTTTCATTACTATAAATTCCCGGCCGTTGCGGATTTTTGTTCGTCGCCACTCCGACCGGTCGAACGGCCGGCAATAAATGTTATATAGGTATATAAAATTCAGGCTGCATCCGCGCGGCTGTGTTGTATATAATCACAATTAGCGTCCTATTAGGCGCCGAATGTGCCTCCTTATTTATACCGTGCATTAACATACCCACCTCTATGTAAACTTATATCATTTCCATCATCCCCTTCCAAGCGAACACGGGTATATCACGCCCCACCCGAAACGACACGATCCACCTCGTGGAAAGACAACAACAACGGGCTCTCCACTCTTCTTTACCCGCCGATTTACGATTATCCGCACTTACACCTGGCCAAACGTTAAATAACGTACACGTATACGCGGCACTCTTTATAAATGGAATTACTCTTGTAAACACTTTGTTCCGCGGACGGGAAGCGGTTGTTTCGCGGAACGTACGATCTCCACGCTGTTGCAACGAAGATTTTTCGGATAACGATATCGGTAATGATGGTTCTCAACATAGTCGATTACGTGGAAAAGTAATATTTGGATTTTCTTTTTTCTTTTTTTTTTTCTTTTTTTCTTTATCGTATTTCATGTATCGTGGATATAGATATTGGATGAAAAATTGCAGGAATTCTTGTTTCTCTCTCTCTCTCTCTCTTCTTTTTTTGATTCTCTGAGACGAGTTAAGTTATATTGTCTAAGCGACATTTCTGTGCCATCGTGAAAAGAAATTGCACAGATATTTGATTGGATAGATAATAGCTGGCTGGAGAAATCGAATCGAGAAAGAACAATGAAAACCACCTCTCGCCGTGTGGTGATGCCGCAGTTGCCCAAGAAACTCAAGAACCACTCCACGGACCGATGGTGAGGCCCCGAGGTCAGGGCCTTGCCCATGGAGTATCGTGAGGACCCCAGCAGGGTGTCCATGCTTTCCTCTGTATTAATAACATGGCCCGGCCGCTGCCAGCTATACATTAAGGAAAATAATCATCATAATCGTGCGTAATACGTCCGGTGAATCGCAATTTTCTCTACCTTCATCCGGCTAGACGCGAATATATCACCCCATCCCGAGATGTATAAGCATCTCGAATTCATCGAAAATCTCTCTCTTTCCGCACGATATATTCGAATCTTTAACCAAATCTTCCAAATAGTAATCGATTCAACGATCATATCTATCAGATTACTCGCCAATGCACAATGAAACAAAATTTCCAGAAAGATTCGAATCGACTTAACGAACGATTCCATCAACCAACCCATCCCCGATTAACCCCTACTTTACTAAACCGAAACTACGTACTTGGAAAAAGTGGATCGAACCGGCGCGAAAGGAGGTCGATCGCGTTACCGGCCGCTGGTAAACCAGCGAATAAAGGAGGGGGCGAGCCTTAATAAACAGCGAAAAATTATATTTGCTTTTTAATCTAGCCGCGCATCGTAAAGCTCGCGCGCTCACGTAGTTCGTTAAGGGGCACGTATTGCTAACAGGGTGTATATGCAAATCATGTACGGAATTAATTTTTCGCATGCTGCGCATACACGGTCGCGTACACGCACACGCGCGCGGGGGCGCACCGCGAATCCATCGGGGGGATAGACGCGGATATTGCGAAATGCTAGGGCAAACCGATGGCCGCGACTATGCGTACAATTGATTACAGACGTGATCGTCATACCGCGCTAAATCCGCGACATTCTCCTCAATCTTGGCTGCGGATTCGACCACGTTCCCCGATTCTAACCCGGAACAATCGATATTAAACCTCTCTCCTATCCCTGACAAAATTTCTCGCGATTCGATCGGAGAAATTTTCTGATTGATGGGATCGCGTGCGAGACTGTCCTCTCAAATTTAATGGAAATTAATACGAGAATCGCCGTTCGAGAAATGGACTTGATACGTTCGTTTCCTATATTTTATATAACGTCATTTTAAACCGAGGTGGGTATTTTAATACCCATCCATGGTGAAAATTTGACACGTTTCAAAGATTAAGGTTACTCTTCCCGATTAGAAAATGAGATTTATCGAGTTGCTACGATACGATACCTCGTACAATGTAGCTCGAACTATAAATTACACGCCATATCCGTATAACGAATTATAGAATAAGGAATAATGAGATTCTTGTTAAGAATATAATACAAGAAGACGTGTTACAAAATTAATTCTGACGATGATTAGGTTATTCATTTAACTAATTTCTATCTAATTTAAATTATTCCGTATATACGTATATAAGAGAAGGTCGTTCTTAATTGTGAAACGGTCGGACGATATAAATATAACACTACTTAACGCTAATGACTCACCAAACGGTTTAAACGTAGACACACGCGGTGCTCCTTTGCCGGCGGGACACGTTTTCAATAATTCATTTTCCGGATAAGGTATATCGGTAATAAAGTGACTTATATCTCGGTGTAAGCCGACGACAGCACGCGTGACATTCGTTCACGTGGAATCACGGCCGGTTCCCGGAGAACTCTCTCTCTCTCTCTCTCTCTCTCTTCTCCTTTCGTACGCCATTTCTTCCTCTCCTCTTCGTTCCCCTTTGTCGTCGTTCCAGTTGTCGTCTCCTTTCGGAATCGCCCATACGCGATTCGAGTTACCCGTCACGGGGCTTTGTTATGTATTTATGTGCATATTCGCCTATTTGTCGAGAAATTCCAGCGTCGTGTCGGCTCTAGGCTGCTCACGACTCGTTCCATGCTCACGATCCGTCGACCCCGAGAACCATGTGTTTACCCGGCGTACACGCGCGTCCTTATACGCTCGTACACGCGAACCAGTGTGTTGTGAGCTCGCCAGACGCCGCGAGACTCCTCGAGCACTGTGTTGTCTTCTCCTCTGTTGTGTTCACGTGACTCCAACGTATGGAAAAACCGTCGTCGTGCCCCCCATAACCGGGACGATTTTTCACGGATTCCCCGCCGTTTCTTCGCCGAGCACGCCCGATCGAACGAATGTTTAAATCTATTCGTACGATCTATGAAAACCAGGTGCGCGAGATATGCATACGTTCGAAACCGCGGCTTTCTTGAAACGAGTCGAAACGAGCAACACCGGATTATTTACCAAATAATCGTACGAATCATCAAACGATGCGTTTCAAATTTGATGGAGGGAAAAAGCGAATACACTCGATTTTTCGTTGCTCGATAAACAGTGTTATCTGATATCAACGAGCGGAATTTATGGCGTAAAAGTTTTCGTCCGTGATCAGGATCTATCTGGACAGATATTTATATTTCATTAGCAAACACGTGTATCTTTTTTTCTAGAAATCTTTTTTTTTAGTCGACGATATATACGATTCAAAAGAAAGGTGTTGAACACGACGAAAGAAAAAATAAAATTTTAAGGTGTATTATTGACGAAATAGTTGCATAAACAGTTTTTGATTCCACGAAAAAGTGTAAAAAGTGCGTAGAGAGAATCTTTGAGAGGATGTCGTTTGTTTGTCATTTGTCGAAGATGAAAAAGTTAAATTTCCATAACGTTGCCAGCGAACAATTTTGTTTAAATAAACGCGGCCGTGTGAACGTATTATAAGCATGTTGCACAATGATAT